AATATATGCACAGGAAGACTGAAGACAGAGTTCAATAATGATTTATAAAGTTCATTGGGGGGGGGGGGGTCTGTGACTGCTGTTTCATGGTACACAGCATAGCCAATCATTGTGCTTAGATATTCCATGCTTATCTCTGTGCTGCGATTTCTATCCTTTTTATAGGTGTATGCTCTAGGAAAGTGTAATATATGCACAGGAAGACTGGAAACAGAGTTCAGTGGTGATTTACAAAGTTTATTTTTGAGTCATGTAACTGCTGTTTCACGGTACATTAAAAAGAAGTATCCGGCTACTGTAGTTATTATGTGGGATGATATGCTGCGTAACATTAATGTCAGTAAAATGAAAGGTAATATTCAATATTTTGTATTCATAAAACCCTCTTATACATGTAAGTGTGTTTTGCAATGATAGCTTTGATCTGCACACACCTGGTGTGGTTATACATGCGTTTATATATTTGTCTTATTGCTGAATGATCCTCACAAAACTTGTATAAACTTCATAAATCTAGACAACAAAAGGGGAGGGGTGTCAGAAGGAGTTGCAAACAATGGTGCGGATTGCTGCTAACCAGACGGAGTCGAAAACAAATAGAGAATCAGTAGCAAGTCAGAGGAGTTTGCCAACAAAGAGTGACAGAATAACCAACAAAAAGAGACTGGGTGTTGCCAACTAGAGGGATTCGCCAACAAAAGAAAACAGGGTCAAAAACTAAAGGACAGAAGGTTGCCTGCACAAAAAGAGACAGTCACTAACCAGAGGGGTTGTCAACCAAAAAAGTCATGGTTGCCAACAAAAGGTCATTAACCAAAGGAGAGGGTGATGTCGAGAAAAGGAGAGGCAGTCGCCAACCAGAGACATGGTTGCCAATCAGATGAGGTTGCCAAAACAGTGGCCGCAAAAAATCAATTCTAGTGACTTCATCAATACTAATGACTCCAGCAATTCTAGTTACTTCATCAGTTCTAGTGATGTCACCAATTCTAGTGACTTCATTAACTCTAGTGACTCCATCAATTCTAGTGACTTCATCAATTCTAATGACATCATCAATTTTATTGACTTCATCAATTTTAGTGATGTCATCAATTCTAATGACTCCTTCAACTATTGTGACTCCATCAATTCTAGTGATGCCAACAAGTCTTGTGACTTCATTAATTCTAGTGATGTCATCAATTCTAGTGACAATCATCAGTTTCCGTAATGACATTATTTTTATTGACTTCATCAATTCTAGTGACTCCTTCAACTATTGTGACTTCATCAATTCTAGTGACTCCTTCAACTATTGTGACTTCATCAATTCTAGTGAATCCATCAATCCTAGTTACATCATCAATTCTAGTGACTTCATCAATTCTGGTTACTTTATCAATTCTAGTGATGTCATCAATTTTAGTGACTCCATCAATTCTAGTGTGCTATCAATTCTAGTGACATTATCAGTTCTAGTGATGCCACCAATTCTAATTACTCTAGGTGTCATCAATTCTAGTTATGCCATCAATTCTAGTGATGTCATCAATTCTCATGATGTCATCAATTCTAGCGATGCCACCAATTCTAATTACTTTAGGTGTCATCAATTCTAGTTATGCCATCAATTCTAGTGATGTCATCAATTCTCGTGATGTCATCAATTCTAGTGATGCCACAAATTGTAGTTATATCATCAATTCTAGTGACGCTGTCAATTCTATGGTGATGTCATGGTACCCATGCTAATTTATCTTGAATGCAATGAACGTTTCTGTTTAAATTTTGTACAATGATAGTATACCAAGAGATACATCTGCACCAACATGATTTTTGTGATTTAACTCAATATGGCTGGCCTACGCCCAATTTTCATGTATAAGCGCTAAATCGTCATTTTACATGTCCGAAGCTGTTTCTCAGAGAAGACTAGGCCGATTTGGATCTAAGTTGATTTGTTGATCATACATATTGGGTTATAGGTGCACGTCATATTTTTTTCGTGATTCAAACAAATATGGCTGACTGGTGGCCATTATGTTTTTCATGGTACCACGCTACTTTCTCTTGAATGCAATGAACGTTTCTCTTCAATTTTTTAGCTCCGCTGTCGACTTTGTCGAGTGGAGCCGATCATATGAGTGATTGTCCGTTGTCATCCGTCGTCCGTGTCAATGTTTTACTTAT